TTTCCATTGGGTGGTGATCTCCCTCTACCTTCTTAATTGCCATCAGAGCCGATCCTGCCCAGTTTATAAAGGAAGGTATGGAGAGGTCAAAGGTTACAGTGATCAGGATACAGAGATTGGCTCAAGGTCCACAAGCCCTGAGTCAAGGCGCAGATGAAACCCAGGACCCTGGCTCCCAGGCCCTGCTCTCATGTACAACAGATCTAGGGCATGAGAAGTGGCAGAAGGGAGAGGGAGTGGGCGGTGAGTCCTATCCAAGCCCAGTCAGCCTTGGAAGGGAGAACCTAAGACAAGGCTCTTTCAGCAGCCCAGCAGGTGGACCCTAGGCCTCTTTCCTTCCTTTACCTCTTCCCGGCATCCCTGATTTGCAAGGGCTCCAGGTGGCGCTTCTAGAGCCTGCCCCCCACACCACAAAGGCTTCCGGCCACAGCTGAGCCGCCCCAGCTCTTGCAAGCCTCCCGACTAATAGAAGAAAGCTCCAGGGGTTCAGAGACCTAAGAGGAAAGCAGCCAGATCCAGCTGCCACCAAGAGACACTAAGCAGGACTGCACCTCTTTCTCCCCAGACTTGTGCTCCAGGTTCACTTCATGCAAGTTGCCCTCCCAGGGCCATGGAACTGAACTGTAACAGTGAGTGCATTGCTGCCAGGGTACTGATGGTGACAGCCTCGGAGAGTGGAGCTGTGGCAGCCTGCGTGGAAGTCTATGTCTGCGATCCCAGGCTTTGCAGCCTGGAGCTTGCTTAGCTCTGACTCCTCCCTTCAGAGCCCTCCCCACACCCACACCCACCCCCAACTGCCCTGCAGCTCAAAGGCCCCCCACAGCGAGGGCCCCATCTGCTGGAGGCTCGGTGACCTGTGTCAAATGAGCAGGCGCTCGGTCACACTCCAGAGCCTGGAGGAGGCTGTGCACTCTGGGAAAGCTGAGGAGGTCCTGCCTGGGGGCAGGCTGGGCAGGGGCCCCACAGGGGAGCCTGAGACTGGCAGCAGTCTAGCTTAGAGCTGCCCTGCACAGGCAAGAAGAGGGAAGGGGAGGGGAAACAAACAGGAGAGCTTTCCTATCTCCCCGAGGCTAACATCAGCAACAAACCACATGGACCAAACACTGGACTGGGCACAGCCCCTTCCTGCCTTCTGGTACCGTGCAGACCTGATGGTTCATTCAAAGAGTGGATAAGGACGTCTGTGTGTCTATGAGATGGGGACAACTCTTTGTGTCTGTTCACCCGGGGAAGAGAGTGTGTGTGGCCAGTTCCATGTGCGAACAGACACCAAAGTGTAGCTGTTTACGTGAACAATACTGTGTGCCAGTCAAGAGTCACTGTGTTTGTGACCCCAGGGGCCTGCAGGTCTCAAGATTTTTTTCGTGTCAGACAAGGAAGACCCATTTCAGTCTACATGAGTGTTCTGTATCTGACTCTGTTTAGACATATTTATTGCCTGCATTTATTGTTAGGTATTACTCTGTGAAACTGCATGTTTAGCCTACTGAAGCAAGACCATTGCATGTTCCTGTGGTGAATTAGTACGTGTATCTTCGTGTTGGCTTGTATATCTGCATGTTCAGTATATGTAAGAGTGCACATTTCCCGGCATGCCCTCGCTATCCCATCTGCACCAGCCAAGAAGGTACCTGACTTCCATGTGTACACCACGGCGGTGCAGTGTGGTCATATAGGTAAGTTCCTCCCTGGGTCTGTGATGGTAATGATCCCAGAACAGGGCTTCTCAACTTTCCCAGTGCTACGACCCTTTAATACAACTTGTCGTGACCCCAACTATAAAATCATTTTCATTGCTACTACATAACTTCATAATTTTGCTACTGTCATGAATTGTAATATCTATGTTTTATCTATATTTTCCAATGACCTTAGGCAACCCCAGTGAAAGGGTCATTCGACCCCCAAAGCGGCCTCGACTCAGGTCTAGAACCGCTGTCCTAGAGATAGGGGCCATTCTGGTTGTACAGGTATCGGCCAGGGCCTATGACGGTCCTCACACAATCTGCAAGAACAAGAAGGAAAGGGATTCCAAGATTTTCCATGGGAAACTTAACTCCAAGTCAAAAATAAGACTCAAAACTCATATCGCTGTGGAGGATCTAAAATTCCCAACACAGAGTTAAGAATTTTACCTTTCCTGGTTCATGAAGCTGCTGCTCACCCCCGGGTAGCATCCGCTGTGTACCGGAAGGACACTTAAATCACATTCTTTGTTCCGTCCTTGGAGCCTCAGAGCAATCCTAAGATGCAGGCATCACTGTCCCCACTTTAAGATGGAGAAGCCGTAGCTCCAAGAAGCAAGTGATTCACCCAGGCTGCTTGCTTATTAGGAATGTTAGCCTAGGGACAGAGAAGAGCGGGGCCACAAGCTGGACCTTGGGTAGTGCTTTACTGATCAGGGGACACGGCTTCCAGCTAGCCCTGACCTGCCTACAAGCATGGTCAGAGAAAAGGCTGTAGGCCATCTTTGCCCTGAAGGCCAAAACTGCCACTTCTTGCAACCTACAGCAATGTAGAGAAGAACGAGTAGGAGGCATGAGTAAGGCTCAGCTCTGTTCTCTACACTCCGAGGATGCTGTCATTAGCTCTCCCAGGGTTTAGGGCAAACGATGGGCAGAACAGCACCATGCCCATGGATCACTGTTCTTCGAGCCTCAGGGGTAACCCCCAAATCTGTATGGCTTCACATCTGTCAGCTGCCCAGACATTTCCCATCCTCCAGCAGGACCAGAGGTAGATGTATAGAATCTCAGACTGTCAAAGCTGGAAGAGCAAAGGAGGTAAACTGGTCCAAACCCAATAGCCCACTTACAAATGAGGAAACAGACTTTGTTGCCCAGCCAAGAGACACCAACAACAGGAAAAAGCATGGGAAAAAAAACCCGGGAGTTTGGGGGGGGGGGCACTGCACCGTCTCATACCACTCTCTGCTCGCCTTAGGGAGACGGGAGGACTGTCAGATACCGCCAGTCCCAATTTACAAATTGGAAAGCCAAATTCAGAGAGAACAGACCAGAATACTCTAACCAAGGAGACAAGAGAACTCCAGTTTGAGCCCAGTCTTCAGAGGAACGTGGGTCTGGTTAGGGCCGGCACTAGAGACTTCCGCTGGAGGAATCCAAGCCTTGGTTCTGCACTTCTTAGATCCTGGAGAAGGCTCAGCCAGGCAAGTGGACCAAAAGAACTTGAGCTGCCTCAAGGTGACTACTTCCTGGGCCAAGATCCTATATGGGTTCAGACACAGGAATCCATCAAACTCCTGCAGCTAGAATAGGACCTGAAGGTGGCCTGTTCAGGACTGTGGCCAGTAATCAGACAACCCCTGACCTCTTCCACTCCTTCCCTTGGGGGCTAGCCAGGGGCTGGACTTGGGGCCTTCGGGTCTTAGAGGACACTGTCTCTAACCAGGGTAACTCTGATCGCTGTCAACTCTGTCCCAAGTGAGATCATCTCCACAGCAGCTGCGTTCAGAGTTCTTGGATCCTTTCTTCAAATACATGGGCTTCGCCCCCCAATCCTGAATGGACTTATCCAGTAAGACCCTAGCTAGGCCCCCAGCTAGACACCCTGGAACCTCTGAATCACCTTAAAGCAAGACTAGAGGCGCAGAAGGGGGTCTGGCAGTGGACTGAAACCCAGCGCAGAAACAGGCAGAAGCTGTGAGCCATGTAGGGTAAGGAAGCACAGAACAGCTGCAGCTTAGGCCCTGCTCAGGCAGGATCCTTAGGAGAGACTCCAAAAACAGGCAGGGATGAAGAAATTGGCGTTCCACTGTCCACTTCTCCAACAAGGACTCCTCAATTCCCTACCAGACAAGTCTGAGTTGGCTCCACGGAAGACTGGACAGCTGCCAGCCTACACATTGGATTTCTGAACTGCTCTTCCCTGAGTCAGCCCACAAGCTCTCTTGCAAGTTTCCCGCCTGTATGACCCCATCATAACCAGCGCTAACGACCGACAACTGGTTCAAGCTGGGAGGAAACATCACGAAAAGGCTTCAGCAGTGCAGGACAGGGCCCAGCGGCCATCCCCCACCCACTGGTGGCGCTTTCTCCGGAACCAGTCTCCACCTCGAGGTCCTCTCATTCCAGAACCCCGGAGCTGGTTATAGGAGCTCACATCTCCGCATAGAGCCTCTGCCGCCCGCAGTCCTTGCTGGCGCAGCACTGCCCACTCGGTACTCACCTGGCCTCGGTGCCCAGGAGAAGGAAGGAGAGCCGGCGAAAGGCGTGAAGCCCGAGCTGATCCGACTCTGTCTGTGCCTGCTGCACTTTTAGGGCCGCAGAGGTCCCGGTAGTTGTGACGTTGAGTCTAGTGAGAGAAGGGGGAAAACAGAGACCGTGGGAGCGGCGCGAAGAGGAGCGCACGGTGCGACCTGAAGCCGCAGTAGGCGAGGCCGCGGAGGTGAGCAGCCGCGCGGTACCGAGCCGGGAAGCTACGCCGCCTCGCTCTCGCTGCAGCCCACGGGATCCTGGCCCGCAGGCAGCGGCGCAGCGCGGGGAGGAGTGCCGAGCTGAGTCTCTGCTCTCAGCCGGAGCGCCTCCCGGAGCCAGCAATCCCCCCCCCCCCCCCCCCCCCCCCCGCGCCCCATTGGGATGCGGGCGGATTTTCAGGTTGTGTGGAACGTGGGACCGATAGGGCTCCGAGGCTCCCGCGCTGCGGGGAAAGCGGGGCCCACGCAGGGGGGACGAGAGGGGGGTGCGGTCCCGGTGCCACCCCCGCGCCACTCCCCACGTGGCGGCCGCGCCCCCGGGGCGTGAATGTGTACGCGGACGGTGGGGGGGGGGGCTCATGAATGAAGCCCCAGCGGCCAATCAGCACGGCCGGCGCGCGGGACCCCGGGAGCAAGGCCCAATGACAAGCTCTGGGCTGCAGGCCCCGGCGGCGGGCGGGCACGAGGGGCGGAGGCCGGGGCCGGGGGGCGGGAGGCGGCTCCGCGAGCAGCCAATGGGCGGCGGGAGGGGTGGGGCTCAAGAGCGCCCAAAGGGTCCCGGCTTTAAGCCGGCGGAGCGCGGCGGCGGGGCCCGCAGACGGAGCGAGGCGGCGGCGGCGGCGCGGCGCAGGGCGCGGGGCGGCATGGCCACCACCGCGCAGTACCTGCCGCGGGGCCCCGGCGGCGGAGCTGGCGGCACCGGGCCGCTCATGCATCCCGATGCCGCGGCAGCGGCGGCAGCGGCGGCGGCCGCCGAGCGGCTGCACGCGGGGGCCGCGTACCGCGAAGTGCAGAAGCTGATGCACCACGAGTGGCTGGGCGCGGGCGCGGGCCACCCCGTGGGCCTAGCGCACCCCCAGTGGCTACCCACGGGAGGAGGAGGCGGCGGTGACTGGGCCGGCGGCCCGCACCTGGAACACGGCAAGGCGGGCGGTGGCGGCACCGGCCGAGCCGACGACGGCGGCGGCGGCGGCGGTTTCCACGCCCGCTTGGTGCACCAAGGGGCGGCCCACGCGGGCGCGGCATGGGCACAGAGCGGCACAGCGCACCACCTGGGCCCCGCCATGTCGCCGTCGCCCGGGGCCGGTGGGGGCCACCAACCCCAGCCGCTCGGGCTGTACGCGCAGGCGGCCTACCCCGGTGGCGGCGGCGGCGGCCTGGCCGGGATGCTGGCGGCGGGCGGTGGCGGCGCGGGACCCGGCCTGCACCACGCGCTGCACGAGGACGGCCACGAGGCACAGCTGGAGCCGTCGCCGCCGCCGCACCTGGGCGCACACGGACACGCACACGGACATGCACACGCGGGCGGCCTGCACGCGGCGGCGGCGCACCTGCACCCAGGCGCGGGCGGCGGTGGCTCGTCGGTGGGCGAACACTCGGACGAGGATGCTCCCAGCTCCGACGACCTGGAGCAGTTCGCCAAGCAGTTCAAGCAACGTCGCATCAAGCTGGGCTTTACCCAGGCCGACGTGGGGCTGGCGCTGGGCACTCTCTACGGTAACGTGTTCTCGCAGACCACCATCTGCCGCTTCGAGGCCCTGCAGCTGAGCTTCAAGAACATGTGCAAGCTCAAGCCGCTGCTCAACAAGTGGCTGGAGGAGACCGACTCGTCCAGCGGCAGTCCCACCAACCTGGACAAGATCGCGGCGCAGGGCCGCAAGCGCAAGAAGCGCACGTCCATTGAGGTGGGGGTCAAAGGCGCGCTCGAAAGCCACTTTCTCAAGTGTCCCAAGCCCTCTGCGCACGAGATCACCGGCCTGGCCGACAGCCTACAGCTGGAGAAGGAGGTGGTGCGTGTCTGGTTCTGCAACCGGCGGCAGAAGGAGAAGCGCATGACCCCCGCGGCCGGCGCGGGCCACCCGCCCATGGACGACGTTTACGCGCCTGGGGAGCTGGGGCCTGGCGGGGGCGGCGCGTCTCCACCCTCTGCACCCCCGCCACCGCCTCCGGCCGCGCTGCACCACCACCACCACCACACACTGCCCGGCTCAGTGCAGTGACCCTGCGGGCTGGGTTCCCCACCGGCGCAGCGGTGCCTCCGGCGCGCAATCAGCCCGCGCGGCCTGGACTCTTTTTTTGTTGTTCTTTATTCGGTTGCTTTGGATTTTACAAAAAGGAAAAAAAAACCCAGAAACTTTTAAACAAAACCAAACAACCCCGGACCGAACCCCTCTCTGGCGAGCGGCGAAGGGCGGCCGAGAGGCTGTGTCGCCCGAGTCCCGGGAGAGAGCAGCGAAGATCCGGAATGCGCCAACACACTCTGGGCGCCCTCTGCCCACTGCCTGCTCCCTGTCCCCATACCCTCGACGACCCCTGCCCTTGCCCCCGGGCTGTTCGGGGCCGGATCCCGGCAGCGGCCTCCCCACAGCGAAAGGTAACGCGGTGCGGGGTTAGGGATTCCCGGGAGAAAGGACGAAGAGAGAGGAGAGTCCCCCGCAGCTCTCCCGGGCGCGGACTCCCTGTAGCCTGCAGGTCACGGGTGGGGGACTGTCACTTTATTCTCTCCGCGCCTCTTCTCTCGCACCAGGATGCGCCCCAGCCCCTCACCCTTTCTCCGGGCTTGTTTTTTTTTTCTTTTTTTTTTTCTTTTTTTGCGATTTTTTATTTATTCGTGGAGCCTCTAGGTTCCTGGGGTCCTTCTAACTCCGCCCGCGCCCTTAATTTAAATCGCTGTATACTGTATTTATCGGGGCCCCGGAGGGGAGGCCACGAGAGCCGCATCTGTGTATAAAAGCAGGAAATAGCCAAAGCTTTAATCTAGCCTAATTTATTTTCCCTTTCTCATACCCTTTCCTCCTTCCTCCAAGAACGCAAAACAAAAAAAACTAACAAAAAAAAATTTTTGAGTGTTCATTTCCGTTTCGTTTTACCCGAGCTGTCGGCTCGGTTCCTGGCCTAGCGGATAGGGTCTGCGCTCCCACGCACACCCGGGTGGGAAGGGGCATCTCCACCCGCAAGACCGAGCACGCACCACGGGCCGCTGCTTCCCCGCCGGGCCCTTCCCCTCCTGGCCTTAACGAACGAAACTTGGAAAAGTTGGAACTATTTTTTAACCAGCTGTAGAAATAAACCATTCCCCCAAGAACCTTCCGCCTGATTCCCTACCGCTTCCCCCTGCTCTTTCCAGCCCCCTCGGGATGCTGGGGGAACCCTGGAGAGAAATTCTCCCAATTTGGGGTGAGGTGGGAACCATGTAAATATGTGAGATATGTACACACTGGCGGGGGGCGGGAAGAAACCTTTTGTGCTTGGTTTTTATTTTTTGGTTTCTGGGTTGTTGCCCCTCCCCGGGTTTTGTACGCCCGACTAAACCGAAAAAGATATTTTAATATGGTTTCCTGATTTCTGACCCATCTCTATTTATTTTCTGGATGTGTTTGGAGCTTCCCCCTTCACCAATTCTTCATTGTTTGTTAACGTTGGAGCTTAAATTTTGTTTTTTTATTTTTATTTTGGAACAATGTTTGGTGCATTCTCTTTGTATCTTTATTGCAAAAAAAATAATGTAGACTGGGAAGTTCCCTTTATATTTATGTTATAGTAAATATTTTATTACTCACATAAACATGTACCCCAGGGCTGTGTCCTGTTCTCTTTACTGCTAGAGCTTGTTTTGCTGGGAAGGTGTGAGATTCTGCTACCTGGTTCCCACTCTGGAAAGGAACCGCCAGCCTTTTTCCTGGTCAGTATCAGGGCTGCCTGTTGCTTGGTCAGCATTTGGGCACCTGGCCCAAGTAAGTACATCAGTCTAGGGAAAATGAATTGGATCCTTTTCCCATTGGCCAGATCAGGGCCTAGGACAGGAAACCATTGACACCACATACAGCTGGGTTCAGCCATGAAAGAAGCAGCTCATCTCTTCCTGGATTACCAGCCTTGAAGCTGTTTCTCTTGCCTGACAAGCCAGCCCCTAACATTGATTTCACCTTGCACTCCATGTACCTCCAAGACAAGTTTCATCATCATAGGGCAACTAGGAACTTGGTCAAGCTCTTCCATCCTATCCCAACTGGTTCTCCATCCAAACAAATGGTACCAAGACCACCTAGATACAGTGGACGTCTGGTGGGTCCAGACTGAAGTCTATTCAGTGGTCCTGCAGAACTAAGTGGGCTTGGGAGGGAGTCCTGTCTGTTTGCTTAAACAAAGCTAGTTAAGCTTTGCAGACAAACCACCAGCCCCAGCCACTCTTGGAGAGTAGCAGGGAGGTAAGCCATGCTGTGGGAAAGGCTTGCCATACCTCCTAGGGCAGACATGGAAGGACAGCACAATGGGGAGAGATGAGGGCTTGTGAAAGGGAGTCCGTAGGACTGCGCATCAGGACCTGACGGGAAAACATTCTGAGGTGTCCTCAGTTCTTCAGTAGCAGCATCTCAGAAGCCCCTGTACCAGGGGCAGGTCTCAGTTCAGCTCAAAACCCAAGAGGATTTCCTTTAAAAGTTCCCGTTTCTACCATAGACCACGGTTCTTCCACCTTCCCAGGAGAAATCACACAAGGTCCCTCTTGCTCTTTGTGGGGCAAAGCTTGAAGCACAGTGGCTTGTCTGAAGAGAAAGTTGTTCCCTTGGTGCAGGGGTATGTGGAGGCCTGCAGGCCCCGCAAGTTGCTCAAGTCTGGGCCTTGGAGAGCCCTTGGCTCTAGCTGGAGGACTGGGTGATGCCCTGAGTCAGATGTTCCAGGCCCCCCACACTGGTGTCCCCTGGCTGGGCTGGAACCTTGGGATAACTGCTGGTTCCTGGTGGCTTTTCTGGGTTCTGCCCCTCAAGTCCAAAGGGGTCTTGTCTCCACACACAGAGGCTCCCGCACTTTTCAAAAGCTCGCTCACTCTCTGCACCTTTTTAAAAGTTTGTTTAAATTAAATCTTTTTTTTTTTTTTTAGTTCATGAATAGCCCTGTGATGGGCACTGGAGTCCCTGTTGTTCTTCCTGTCCCTGCTGAGCCTCCTTGTGCTTCTCAAGGAGGAGACAGTGACTTGTGGGCAGAGATGACACGGTCGGGAGTCATTGGCCACCCTGCCTCAGCTTCTCATTTCACGTTCCATTAAATACAAAACTCTGAAGCCATTCCATATTCTCCTCCTTGCTTCCTAGTTCTTCACCCCTAGATTTGTACCTGCCTTGGGGAGGTGCCCAAAAAGGAAGCAACAGACACTTGGCTTCCCAGCCCCTGCCTGCCCAGAGTATCTACTAGGGCTTTGAGATTGGAAAGGCCTCGGGGAGAGGAGAGGCGGCTTTCACTGGCCTCTTGCCTGCAGCTGACACCGATTGATTGATTGATTTCCTAATTGTCTCTTAATCTTGTACAAGAGGGTGGGCTTATTATTTCAGCAAGTCAACTCAAAAATAGCAAAAACAATGCTGCCTCCCTCCCAAGAACCAGCGGCAGCTGAGGAGTAGAACAAAAAGAAGGAAAGGTGGAGAAGGGGGTGGGAGAAAACCTTGCAGTGCGAAGATTTTGCTTAGTGAGACACCAGCCTGAGACAGCTCTACCCAGTGATAACCCCTTCAGAGCAGAAGTCCCTAGGGCTTCTCTAGATTCCTGCCCCGACAACCTAGAGTTCTAACCCTTTGGCAAAATAGTTTTTTGAAAGGGCGCGTCAGTTATAGGCTTCTGTATTTCCTATACGCAGGTCTACCTGCTTGCTCCGAAGTTGCCCAGACTTTGCATTTGTCCGAGAGGGAAACATGTTCCTAATATAAACCTCCAAAGAAGCCCAGTTCTCCATGGCAAACGTGGAATTTCTGAGGCCATTTCTCACCTTTTACACTCAGACAAAATTGTTTCATGTCATCGTGTAGCCGCAGATCACAAGAGCTTGATTGGTCTCAGGAGAACACTTACCTACTGATATTTGTTTGTTCTATTGCGTGTGTGAAATCCAGGCCTGATCCCAGAGCCACGTGCTGGTGGGGGAAATCCATATTATTCTGGGAATCTGATCTAGAGCATTTGCAGAGGTGTGGGTGAAAAGAAGGAAGGTAGCCATCGTGGTCACCTGTAATCATCAAGGCAAACCCGGAAGGGACCCTATCCTGAGCACCAAGCACATTGGTATTCTCCTTCACCTCCTGCCCCACATTATACGGGCTTCTGTGTTGCCTGGCATTAAGTCCCAAGCAATCATCCCTTGTCCCAAGAATGTTCTACCTGGTTCCTAACCACAGCTGCCCAGTTGGACCCACTTGGAAGATCCTAGACAGCCTCAGGGACTGCACAGAAGAAGATAAGTCAATGTGACCCACCCAGGGCCAGCCTTCTTCCTTCCTGAACTTTCCACAACAGGACTTTAGCTCCGGAAAGGAGAGCCACCTAGGCGGAAGGTAGAGTGAGGGGGATTATCTGGCCCAGCTACTCCCACAAGCTTAGCCAAGAAGATCTTCCCAGGCTCTCAGGTTAGAGACTCTTCAGTTTTGTCCTCTCCTGCCACACATGAAGGCCCTGGAGTTAGTGTTCGCTAGGTCTGCCAGGGGTTCCCTTGTGCCGCTCAAGACTCCATGTGGGAGGACTGCCCTCTATTGGTCCCTGAGCTGGGACATGACACCAGTCACCAGAAACACCTAATTGTTGAGTAAGCCCTCCTTCCAAGCCAGCGTCAAGGCGATTACTCCACAGGCTTTGCCAGCTAAGCTGACTTCAGGCCCCAAAGGAAGCAATCCTGCTCCACACACAGACAAAAATATGCTTGTTTGTGACCCTTCCTTTTCCACTTACCAACTATTATCCACTCACACAGTCACGCCCAGAAACCCACTACCACACACTGCTTCCTCCATCCCTCCTCATACATCCCATCACTCCTCTCACCAGCTCACACACACACACACACACACACGGCCTTCCCCACACCACCCTCCAGACCCAGCCTTCTGGTGGTTGGCACTGAACTCTTGGGAGTCCAGGTGCCCAGCCCATGTACTGTTTGACTAAACACACACCCCGCCATCCATCCGCGGTCATATCTAGCCAGACCCTCTCCTTTCAAGATTTCTAAGCACTTACCCCACAAACCCGCTTTCCAGATCCATCCCTGCCCATCATTGCCCCAGCTCCTCCCAGATCTCTTTCTGCTCCTTTCAGATAATTCAAGTTAGGCTGTGTGTTTGTATGTATGTGTGATCTTATTTTTTAAACACACACCCCCACACATACATATGCGTGTATATATACAAACATACACAGCAATTAGCTCTACCCATCCCGCCATCATCCTTGAACAGTCAAACCTAGCTGTGTACAGGCCCCCACATGGCCCTGTGATGAACCCAGTTTCACCTCGTCACAGGCTCCTGATGTCCTATACACACACACACACGACACTACCATTTCATTTGTCTACACTACAGGAGTCTAACCCACCCCCTGCTTCCCACCTCCCTTCAGAGCATCTTAATGGACTCTCCTCAAATGACCCGAGGACCAGGAGCACCACCATGCTACAACCCTTCCCCAGCCCACCCCATCTCCAGCCACACACAGCAGTGGACACATCTCCCTGCCGAGCCTGACCAGGGTGGGACTGGGTATTATTAGGCTATAGAGACAGCACGGAGGCATATGGTCTCGTACACAAGAAATAGTGTTCATGTTAAATCAGACCTCATGCATAATGCATGGTGCCTGATCTCACATTATTTTGGGTGTTCGTCAAAATCAGTGTTCTTTCTTGTGAGGGCTCCTGAAGAGAAGGGAAAAAGGCGTTTGCTAATTACACCCACAGCCCGGACCCAGGGATCACAAAGTGCCCCGGGAGCATCCTCTGCCCCGCTTCACCCACCAGTGGGTCCTGTCCCTCTCTTCCACTCTGTCTTCCCACAGGGAAAGAGGCCTTGCCTTGGGTTTGTGGCAGGCATAAGGTCCTGTGTTATTTTTATTTCTTTTCTCTCGGCTCTCTGTCCCCGGAGGGTTCTGGGGAATAGCGGTGGCTCCGTTGCTCTCACACCCGATTCATTTGCTGTTTTATGAACTCCCGGTTGATTCATCACCTCCCTAAGTCAATGATTCACTCCTGATGGCTTTTCAGAAATCCTTCTTGAAGGGCTCCCGATTATTCAGCTTTGAACAGGAGCCTGAGCTAAAGCAGACCTGGGCCCTGCACGGCCACTGTTCCCTTGGCCTGGAGTCACCCTGTTTGGGCTTTTGCAGAAGCTGAGCTGGGGTGGAGGGAGGACTTTCTCCATGCAGAAGCCGGGAGAATCTCCCCCAGCAGCTCACAGCCGGATCTACTCTATAGCAATGATCCATTCTGCTTCTGTGGATCACCTGTCTTCTCCTCTGTCATCAAAGTCCCAGGAAACTTGCTGTGACTCAGGAGGCAGAGCACAGAGTGTGAACACAGGGGCTGTGAAACGAAACAGACCCGGACACGGGTCCTAGCTCCGTCTTTTATCACTTGTGTGACCCTAAGCCAGCAACTCACATCAGGCCTCGGTTTCCCGGTATGATGACAGGGCCATTCTGTATGGCAGAGTTGTTTTGAGAATTAAGTGGGATAGTGCACACAATATTTAACAAAGTTGCTTTATTCTGAGGCCTGAGCTCAGAGTTCTCTTATGGGGAGAAACACTATGAGATAATGAC